CCCCCCCTCTGCAGCGGAGCCACAGACCTCACCCCTCCACATCTGTGTTGACCCGCTGGCTTCTATCTAGACTTTCCAACCCTGTCAAACGGCATCATGCTTTCAAAGGTCCACCTAAATTCCAATCCCCAAAAAACACATCCATCATAGCATTAAATAACTGCAGGCTTGTATCACTGACATTTGTAGTCATGCAGGCCTATGAACATCTGGCGCTGATCCATCTGAGGAGCATCACAGGACACGACCTGGATCGACCGGTATTTGGTTACCAGGCAAACAGATGGGGGACTTATGATTCTTTGTTAAATGAAGCAGGTAGATACACTGTAACCAGCCTGCTGTTGATTTCTTCTGTGCATTTCAAGATACTTTTTCACCAGTTTTTTAATTTATCAGTGAGCAAATAACAATCATCACCTCAGTATAATAATACTCCTAGCCTTAATATAAGGACTAGTAATCAGAAAGTAGAGGGAGTTTAATAAAACTATCACTATTGACCTGAGAGAAAGTGCACCTGTAAAAATTTGAGGGACGAATGTTGCTTGCAAAGAAAAAAAGTGAGCCCAACAGAGAGTGGGAGTCCAGGAGGGAGCTTTGAATTGATGAAATGAATGTTTGTGATGCCAATACATGAATTCTGAACTTATGAATATGGTGGAAACAAACTAGGGAGAAAGTTGTGATGTGAATGTGCTTTAATTATTAAGGACATGTTACATGTAAAATAGGGACAACATTTATTAATTTGTAAACAAAAATAACATCTTTTCCACAGTACTGTTCCTCATCTGCAGTACTGTGGGGTCCAAATGATGTTTGCTACCAAAGCAAACAGGCTCCAAGTGACTAAATACAACAAAATAATTAGAATGTATCCATATACATTGATTCACAGGCTGAAATGCTTCTGATATATGGGGTTGTAATGATGAGGAGGAGGAGGAAGGACGCTGTTTCTTATAACAGCAGTATATTCAGAATTTAGCCTCTTCCCTGCATCTCCTGCTTTACCTTGTAAAACCTCTGAATGACTGAAATTTGATGATGACCCTCTCTTCTCCTCTAACGGCTTACCTGTGGTATCATTAAATATGGATGGCACTCTTAGACATCCTGCAATAATTTCATAGTGTTCTGATGAGAGTGGGGCAATGTCAGTGTGTAAGTCTGCCAAAGCTACTTTTACGCATTCCCTGAGGTCATGAACACGTCGGCGCATTATGCTATGTGCTGTTCTAGCATGTATCCACCTCTTGAATTAGCTTCAATGCTAGCTGGCCCATTTGCTCCAGCACTTGTGTCAGCCTCCTCTATAAAAGTAGCCAACAAAAAATGATTATTTCCAGTATCATTGCAGCAGCAACCTAAACAACATGGTGTTGTGTAGAATATTATAATAAAAAAGTAAAGTGATGTTTCCAGTGGAAAGTGCTCTTGAAATAACCCACTGTCTTCCTACAGTTTGCCCAGATGTCAGGCAACAGAGTTATATAGTCAGGAGCCCTTTTTAATGTGTCAATTGAAACTTTGCGCCACACAATTTGTGCCACGCACATCAGTCACAAGGCATTAAAAGTGTGTGTAATACCCCATTCTGACACAAGTGCTGCTTCTACTTTTGCTAAATTTTCAGCAGCATTTGCTGCAGGGAAAACAGAATGCAAAGAGCTGCTTGCGTGTATAAAATGGCACGTCACAGCTAGATACGTATCAGTGTTGATAGGGGTCCACATATCTGATGAACTAACTGCAGATGCCTTGGACACAATGACCTTGGCTTTCTCTTTGGATGTGTGTCCTGAAAACCATAGTTTTCAGAGAAAATGGGGAAAATCCACGTCATTCTTCTCCCCTGATGAGGAAAGAAAAAGGCAATATTCAGTTACAGATGTCCCTAATTAAGTCACATTTTAAACATAAATTAATGGTGTCTAATACAAACGAACTGTGCAATTTTATGTTTGTATACAGTCTTATCACTGCGTCCTAAACGGCTTACCTGGATTTTTGAATCCAAGTTCTTTTGAACACAACAGACACTTCGCCTTTTAATATACCAGAAATTGGAAGAAATAAATAACAACACGGGATCCGCTGTGTACTTTATACTTTATTACT